CATCAGCATTATACTTGGGTAGATGTTGGCTACAGTTGTTCCTTAATAACCTCAGCAAAAACAGACCTTTTCATTCCAGTACTGACTTCTACTTTCTGGTCCTCACATTTTCTCCTTTATATTACTATAACAGTATCTCCTATTTTATTTTTCTGCTTGATTGCTTTAAAGTGATGGTTAACTTGCTCTGTTTTTCTCCTTAGTTGTCAATGATAAAATTAAAATGGCTGATTCCCAGTGGTGTAGTGGTGAACACCCCTTTGCTACTCAAACTGTAGGCAGGGTTCAGAGAAGGCAGACCCAACCCCAGTTCATAGAGAACAAAACACTCCCATCTGGCCAACTAGACAGAGAAATTAGTGTAGGCCAGTGTTGGTCACATAATCTGAGCCAGATCAATGAGTTGACCTGGGACTTTACCAGAACTGAGAAAAAAATAATCTTCATTAGCAATTAGATTCCCCAATTGGTAGAAAGCCTAGAGCTGCTGGTGGCCATCTTTACAATCATGTGGGCAGCATCTCTTGGGAAATGAAACTGAAAAAGAAGCAGACCTGAGAGCAAAACCAATGAAAACTAAAACTAAAAGTACCAGGAACAAGCACCGGTCATTTTAATTGGGGTGTCACAGGAACAAGCACCAGTCATTTTAATTGGGGTGTCACAAAACACCCATGTTAACACTCATTGATTTGTATTTGCAGAATTCCTGTAACTGATAATCAGTAGTTTTGCTTTTCTTCAACCTTTCTCTCATAATTTAACAGTTCACATTTGCTTTTTTGAACGACTGTCACTCTGCCTCTGTATCCTCCCTTTACCCCATTTGCAGAGCCACCTGAAATGGAAACCTGTCCATTATTCACTCACTTAAAAAGCTTCAGATTCCCCATCACCTCCAGGCAGACCCGTATAATTTAATCCCTACTTACCTGCCCAACTGAAATAAAGACTTCAGCATACTGATTGCTTATACAAATTAGGTTGAGTTTGGTTGTTTAATGCAGCTAAAGTCTTCTCCGAGTCTCCTCTGACTGCTTTATAGTAAGCTAAGGGCCCACACCTTGTGCATATCTTTCATTGCATCACCCTTTAAAATTGCCAATATGTGAACAAGACAAGGGTGTCCACTATCCCCACTGCTCTTCAACATAACATTGGAAGTTCTAGCCAGAGCATTAAGACAGGAAAAAGACATAGAAGGAATCCAAATAGGGAAAGAAGAAGTAAAACTGTTCTTATTTGCAGATGATATGTTAATTTACATGGAAACCCCTAAAAATTCCACAGAGAAATTAAAACCATCAACCAGTTTAGCAAGGTAGCAGGATATAAAATCAACACACAC